CGGGGGGTTTCTGCAGCAACGGCGACGAAAACAAAATTACGAAGTAGACTTGACGTAAAACACACACTTGAGGTGTCATTGTCTCCTATTACCCCGAGATGGGACCGTCTGGTTGCAGAAAATCAAGCTCGGTGCTGTGGTGAGTCGTCATTTTCATGCACTTTGAATTTGCGTTGTATCGTATTTTGAAGGCATTAAACATTACCATTGCGATCGGAGAGAGTGTTGCGGCCAGATCAGACGCTCCTTGTGTTTATTATTATATTTCGAAAACACCACAGTTTTCATGCAGCTCATACCATATTATTTTGTTGTATTATTTCCACCACACCTTAAATGCCGGTCCCTGAAAATATTGTCTGACACAAACCGGTCCGTGGGGCAAAAAAGGTTGGGGGCCCCTGCTCTACAGTATTTGATGAGACTGAACGCTTATGTCTTTCTGTGGGATGTGTTTTGACGACCTGTCTAGGGTGTTTTGCGCCTTTTGCTTAAAGTCGCTTGGTGTTGGGCTTCACCTCACCCAGCTGACTCCATCGGGACAAATAGAAAATCAAATTGATGGTCTGTGTACTATATAAATTATTCGACAAATATTGCAGTTTTATGCACAAATTACACATGGAGTCATACAATATGCACCTGCGTCTTTATTTCATATGCCACTTTGAAAGCTTACATTTAACTTCTCAAATGACTCGAGCAAATATTATACACAATACTATAAACTGCCAGCTATGATAAACAAATGTACACAATCATTTCCATAACTATTTTTTTTTTGGGTGTAACTTTTTTTAAATTTCATAATTCCACAACTGCAATTATAAAAATACAATATATTTCTTAATTTGCTTCTTACCTGTGCTGACAAGTGATACAACTTATCAACATTATTGCTGCATTAGCACAGTAGATTGTGGAGCTCTTAAGTAAACATAGAAACACGTGGCTGTTAGCAACTGTAAAAATGTTTGTTTTCAGAAAGTGCTGCACTTTCATGGAGTTAAAAAAATGAAATGGACAGTATAACAGTTAATACAAAACAAATCAATGCACTTCTCAAGTGAAGTGGGCATGATGCATGGTACTGTTTGGCTGTGTTGGCCCACAAGTCCCCTCACATCGACTCACTACGGACTACCAGACATGACATGACATGGGGGGTTGGATATTGTGGCACAACATTTAGAAATTCTGTGCACACAAAACACAAATTTGTGACCACCAGTATCTGTGGCTCCAGCCAGTAAGCACATAAAGTGCACCTTCTCTTGAAATAGTTAAGGTAGATAGTAGGTTTTAAACTACACAGGTCAGAGACAGGTGTATGCTTGATTGAGAGTTTCCGATGGGGATCAACTACAAAGATATCCTGAAAAGCCTGGCATTGCAAGGTATCATTATGAACAAGAGGCATTTTTAAATATTAAAAAAAAAAAAAACAACAACCTTAAGGACATTGTGTTATAGTTAGGTGTGCTCCATTTGCTTACTCAGACATATACATTGCTCTTGGGAATGATATTTAATCCATAAATTAGTATTACGGTTGCTGTGCATGTGATACTCTTTTTGTGTCCACAAATTAGTATTTTGAGGTCACATTTTATGCACATGTTGTATACTGTATTTTTCGGATTACAAACCGCTACTTTTTTTTTTCTCCCCCAAACTTTGAACCCTGCAGTAATGTGGTATATTTATGGATTTTTACCGACGAGCCATCAATGGATTTACCCATTCTTGTCATATTTGACCAATGAAATTAGCAAATACGTTGCAGTGGATCAATGAAAGTGTCCAAGTCCACCCTCATACTGAATGCTCATCAGCTATTTGCGGTTGGAACAAGATGTATAGCTGCGAGAAAAGTGTGAGACAGAGACTCTCGAAGGGGACAAAAACATAGAAGGGGCACGCACGGCTATGTGACGAAGCAATTGAGAGCCAAAATAAGTGTCTTAAGTTGTGTTTCAGCAAAGGGAACAAGTGCAATAAACACAGCTGTCTCTGCAGTGCCACACTGGTCTAAGCTCATCTGTGAATTTGCTTAGTGTGACGCCAAGAGTTTGAAAAGGTTTCTGATACGCTGTGTAACTTTTTCTCTGTTTGGCATTGTTTGGAGTGAGGAAAAGCATCTACTGGTGTTTATAATATAGATAATACCCTATTTAATAATGTGGAGACCACCACAAATTAGTTTTTATGGCTAAAATTAGCTGTTGCGACTTTTAATCAGGTCTGTTTTGTAGTCCGGATATTATAGTACATATCATGACTACAAATGGGCATTTCATGGACACGTTATACCTTATTTGGTGGCCACTATTAGGTGTGGGCCTCCGTAACTTACAGACTGATTAATCAAATAAAACAAATGGTGAGGAAGTGACATGCACCTTAAAATGAAAACAAAAAACATTTTCTGCTTATTCTGTTACTTTTCAGTAGAAGTGTGTGGGGTTGGGGGGGGCATTTTGTACAGAGTGATTCAGCTCCTGCAAACTGACACCACCACCCATTTGACAGTCAACTTAAAGCACTTTACCTGAGTTTTTCCATGAAGAACGCTGTTTACCATGAGGCATGTTGGTGCAAAGAGGACGTTCACACCATGCATGCTTTGTCAAAAGGTTCCGGTGGGATAGGGTGTGGGCTTGGGTTCAAAGAGAGCCTGGATTTAAGCCTTGCCTTGGGGCTTTGAGAGCCTCACCTCTTGGCTGGGCAAAATGCCATGTAGCGACAAAGTCAGCACAAGTCCCGGCAGAATAAATGTTGATCAGCTGCTACTGAGTGAACGGGTCAATGGCAGGGGGGTGCTTGTGGGAGGGAGGAGAGATGGTTCCGTGGGTGGGTAGCATACAGCCATTTACTATGGCAAAGAAGAGGATGATCTGCTTGTGGAGAAACTGCAAAAAACAAACAAACAAAAAAAGACCTTCATATTAAAGCAGGTCATTCGCGATTAGGGCAATAGGTGGTGGTGGTGGTGGTGCTACCTCTGAAGCCTGTGGATCATGTGCGCCACCAGTGAATCCGAAATGCCAGGGTAGGCTTGCTCAGCCCGCAAGATGGCCTCTTTCAAGTCGTCCAGGACCACAGGGTTCCGGTTCACTTGCTCATGTCTGGCCTTGAGCTGAAAATATTAACACTTCTTTAGTAAGCAACCTGATGGGTTCTTGATTTTTTTTATTTTATTGTGTGTGCATTTGGGGGCTGAATTGTTACCTCGGCTAACACAGGAGTGATGACTGCGGACAGGCTCTGTGAATAAGGCCTCTTTGGAATGTCTTTAGTCTGCACAGAATAATAGAAAGTGAGCGACCAATAAAGTCGGCAATAATGAACAGCAACGCTATCATCTGTGTTTACAAGTTCAGTAAATGTACTAGGGATCAAGTGTTTGGAACAACGGTTCGCGTGGAAGACAGGTGAGGGAGACTATGGTGAAGTTCCTCTGTATCGCAGACATTACAGTGATTGTTTTTTTCTAGGTTTTAATAGTGTACAGTCAAGTCCAAATTTAGAGTTACATGCAACCTTGTACTGTAAGTGCTGGGCAGCACTAAGCTTTGCTGGAAAAAAGAAAAACATAAGACGCGAGAAGAGCCAGAAAAGTCCCCTACGAAGCACACAGAATGTATGCCCATGAGCAATGCTGTCCTTTTACGCCCAGTAGCAGTTAGTGTTAAGGAGGTACAGTATGTTGAAGTCATACATCAACTTTTTTAGGATTGTATGTCGTGAAGGGGCTAAGTTTAGCCTGGGTTGTGATTGGAAGAAGGAGTCTCTGTCAAACAAACAACGGAAGTCTCATTATTGCCTGACAATTGCTATTTTTTATGGGTTCTGAAAACATACACAAGCGCTTCAGATGCATTCTTTCCGAAATCAAATCCTCCGTAAAGCTTTTATTGTTTAATGTTGGAAGTGATATTTAGGTGCGTTGGGATCATAGTTTGTGGTATACATGTATTTAGAGTTTAAAACCATCAATATAGATAATTATCAATTTTCTTGGGAAGGTGGGTCATGGCAGGGGTTTAATGTACAGGTATGATCGAGTGGGTGAAGGAAAGTGTCAGGTGTGATGTGTGACAGAAGAGCAGCAGCTACAGTGGAAAGGAAATGTTTTAAGGATGGAAGTGAGATCAGAAATGTAACTTGTATGGCTTGTAGATGGTAGACAAGAGACAGCGTGTTGTGAGAGAGTTGAAGAGGCTGAGGACAGGAAGAGATGGAAGAAGGATGACTGTGGCAACTCCTGAATAGGGTTAAGATCAAAAGGAAAAGAAGACGATGCCCTACTTTAAAAAAGAAAAAGAAAAAAAAACAAGTATTGCACACAATTGATTTGGAAGATACTGTATATCTGTAGCTACTTGGCACGGCACCTGCTCAGTTGCCGCTGACTGTCCCTCGCCATTTTGTAGCTTCTTTGGATCCTTCTCCCGGATGGTGAAGATCCAGTTATCACTGCCAAAGTCGTTTCCACCCGATGCCTGCCCATCCTGCTCCCTAACGTACATATCAAACAACTCATCAGCTTTATATGATGTAGCATTGCAAAGTCATATACAAATACACAGTGGGGGCAGAAGTAGATAAAGGAAGTGATAAAAAAAAAATCAATACTCGAGTAGAGTACGTACAGACGCCGGTAAAATCTAATTAAGTACAGCAACTATTTGTTCTTTACTTTCCAGCACTGCTAAAACAAATATCGTAAATGCAATATGTGAAATCCACGATATAAAAAGACACCGTAGGCATTATATTATTAGCATTTAATGCACTTTTTTTAAAGATCTTTAAACACACCTTGAACATAACACAAACACATTAAAGATTGATGAATAAAAAAAATATTGTATAAAGAAAGTCTACTCACGACAATGACAAAGCTGCCCTAACACCGAATATTCCTGTTTCAACACTGAAGTAAAGGGGTTTTATTTGTTTTAAAAAAAAACCCAACAAAATTGTGGTGGATAATGTTCCACCTGTGTGAGCATATACTGTAGTACAACATTAACACGGTCTCAGCCCTTCTGCATTGGTGACTCTGTTTATTTGACTATTTATCTAATTTTTGTTACATGGCTGTGAGCAGTTGCTGGCTTGCTGGCTCTGTTTTTTCTTTTGGAACTGCTGTTTTGGACCTGCATGACAAGTCATGATGCCACTCAGCTAGCATTCCATAATTTAGAGGAAACGAAAAGCTGCAAGTAATCTGTTAAGCAAGCAGCACGCTGTGCGTCTAGTAACAGAACACTACAACCAAACAGCGGCTGGCAACACGATAGCTACCGGTACGCTTTATTTGGCTGAATCAGTATGTACATGTATTTTTTCGGGACAAGTGAGATTTAAACTAAAAAGTATTCTGCAAAATGCTGGCTTAAAAATAAAAATGTAAATCCGGAACCAGTGATGGGAGTCCACCGCCCCCTCACCGTACACTGTGGCAGTAAACACTTACGAGTCAGACTCATCTGAACTGGACTCTGTGGTTCTTGATTGCTCCGCCTTCCACCGTTTGTACTTGTCCACCAGCTCGGTCAAGTAGGATGTCTTTTTAGCGTGGCGTACAATTAGCTTATGCTTCAACAGCTCCTTGGCAGTCGGCCTCTGCAGAAATAAAACACGCAAAAACCATTTTAAATTTAAGGCTGAAGGAAAACATAATGGCCCGATGGAAATACCTACAAAACTGGGCTCCTTGTTGAGGCAAGCCTCAACAAACTCCTTGAGCGGCTTGCTGTAGTTTCCCTCCAGAGTCGGAGGGTTGTTCTTTGGGATCAGAAATAAAACCTTCATGGGATGGAGCTCCGAGTGTGGCGGTTCTCCTTTCGCCAGCTCAATGGCGGTGATGCCCAGAGACCAGATATCTGCCTTAAATGTAAATGTTCAGAGATGTTGCTACAATTTTGGCTCAAAATAATTGGAATCACAAAATTTCAGTGAAGATGGGGTTTATAACAGTTATAGTTTGACCCTGTAACAGATTCACTCAATTACAAATGAACAAAATCAAAAATCTAAAGAAATTTAGACTGACAATGGTCCTGGAAAAGTTTCCGTTCGACCATCAAGGTTCCCCTGTAACACCTGTATCATGAGGTGTTTGTGTTTTGCTCACCTTAGAATCATATGCAGACTGTTTTATGACCTCAGGAGCCATCCAGAAAGGCGTGCCCACAAATGTGTTGCGCTTGATTTGAGTGTCGGTGAGTTGGCCGGCAACACCGAAATCTGCCAGCTTCACCTCGCCTTGCTCAGAAAGTAGCACGTTGGCGGCTGGGGTGAGCAGAGTTGAAACAAAATGAACATTTAAGATTAAAGTCACCGCACTTATCACCATTATTATAATTAGTACAATGAATTTAAGCAAAAAAGCAATGCAAACATGTTTGATTTTGATTAGAAAAATAAAATTAAAAATCTGCCAGCCTGTGCACTTTTGGACATTAGACATTGTGAACAGCAACAAACAAAGTAATTTTCATACAAGCAAGACCCCAATGAAATTGACTTGAAATGACTAAGACAGCAGTGTTTTCTTTATCTAAAATGTATGAATTTCCCAAAATAGTGGAAACGGTTCACCAACTCCATAACTTTTTTTGGGGGGCGGGGGGCATTAGCCAATCATGCTTAATGTTCGAGAGCATCATGGGGTCCAAAATCATATGCGTAATAGTTTCACGTCAGCTGTTTTATTTAGGATGTTCTTCTGCCAGTAAGTTGAGTCTCTTCCGGTATATAAGGCGAGCACACTGTAAACAGTTTGACCAAATTGCATGAAAACATACCTTTGATATCCCGGTGGATCTTCTTCTCAGAGTGCAGATACTCCAGCCCCTTAAGGATTTCTCTCAGAATGGTCGCAATTTGGGTCTCATCAAGAGCACCGGGCTCCATCTTAGAAAGACAAAAACAACATAACAAAAACAACACATACAAATGATAAAATATCTAATAATTCGATACTTAACATTTGGGAAAAAAATTCGGCAAAGGATACAAATGATATTTACACTGGATTATCCACAACCCCCTTCCATAATGTGTGATACCCAGTAGAACATGTGCATTAATATTCTGCCTTTAGAAAGATAATTAAAGGTCGCTACCACAGATGAAGAGGACCCCACACCTACATGCACAAAAGGAAATTGGAGCATCTTGGTGGAATTATTCTGCTTCAAAACCAAAATGTGCATTTTACAGCACTTTTATGTGCATCTACTCATGCTCCATATGTCTCCTTCGATTGCATGCCGCAAAGTCTGACCAAATCTTTAACTGAAAAAGTGTTAGAATCTTCAGAGCTATATCCACATAATGTTCTTCTGATTTTCACAAGTGTATTACACTTTGTGTAGTTTTCACATAAATGTGCATTTTACAGCACTTTTATGTGCATCTACTCATGCTCCATATGTCTCCTTCGATTGCATGCCGCAAAGTCTGACCAAATCTGTAACTGAAAACGTGTTAGAATCTTCAGAGCTACAGTATATCCACATAATGTTCTTTTGATTTCCACAAGTGTATTACACTTTGTGTAGTTTTCACATACTCACCCCCCCCATACACACACAACAAAAACAATCAAATAAGAGCTCAGCGGGGTGACTCACTCACCAAATCTAAAGCTGAGCCTCCTCCTAAATACTCCATGATGATCCATAACTTGGCATCCTATACAGTTGAGGCACATCACAAGAATCAATCACAAATGTGAGGAATGTGGGTGACGAAGATGTTTTGTCCATCCCCAATTGTAGGGAACCAATTGGCTGAAGCTTCACCTTTAGGTAGGAGCCATAGTATTTGGTGACAAAGGGGCTGTCGCATTGGCTTAGCACAGTGATCTCCTGCTGAATATCTTCGATCTCATCCTCAGCTTCCTCCAGGTCAATGATCTTGATGGCCACCACTTTCTGAGTCCGATTGTCAATGCCTTTGAAGACCTCGCCGAACGAACCCTTGCCAATGCGCTCCAGCTTGGTGAAGAGCTCCTCTGGATCCACTCTGACATTCTGCTCAGGATGGATGAGTATTGGTACATGCAGAGCGGGGCAGTGTGTGGTGTGGGGAAAAACCGTGGCTTTAAAGACTAATAACCTTCTTGATATTTGTCACAGGAAAATCACTTATCACTGGAATTATCTGTAAAAGATAGTTCTCTTGATGCTGGTTCATGTCAATCACTTAATATTCCACAGGAAAATCACATCACTGGAATTATCTGTAAAAGATAGCTCTCTTGATGCTGGTTCATGTCAATCACTTAATATTTAACATTTTGCACACATACCTAAGATTAAAGACCCCAAAAGGCTGCGCTTACCTGCATGCCTGGCAGGTTCCCAGGGGGATGGGCCATAGTGGGATTGGCTCAGGGCTCCTTGGCTAAACCAATGTCCACCACTCGTTATGTATCGCAAGTGTGGGCACCTGGGCCCACAGAACTATAATGTCCGGGTACTGTTTACCCGATATTGTGGGATTCAAATAGTGTCAGACCCTGCCCTCCAAAATAAACTGCATCATAAAAGTCTGGACAAGCTAACAGACGCTTGCTAACAGTTAGACAGGCGATGATCTCAGAATTATTCAACTCCTTCCTTTAATTTGACGCCCGGAAGACGTTAAGAGATAGCAGCAATTTCTCATGTTGTTCGGGACGCAATTTGAAGTTTTTACAAAGACCTTAGCCCACTGTCACTTTGAAAAAGTGAAGTCTTTCGGTTAGTATTAGCTCGCTACATAGCTAGCCAATCATAGCAGACAACCGAACCTTGACTGCTAGTCGCGGCCTCAAAGAAAAACGACCCAGGCATGGCACATGTGGAACTCGAAAGAACGGAGTCCGTACGCATATACGAATATCTTCGCACTAACTCGACGTCATGTGGTCGAGACAGCCAGTGTTTTGGTTTCCTTCCTCACTTTAGCCCCGAACTCCCGGCCATCTTGTCAGAGTTATGACGTCGTACCGTTGGGCGGTTCTGGTCCGGACGACAACACTGGCTCGTGTGAGCCGCCGAACAAGTTTATTTTTATAAGTGTACGTTCAAACGTTAATACCACACCATTCAAACATAGTTAGCTAATATGCGTCCTTGCCTTCTGGAAAATAAATAAATACTGTGTGAATGCTGTGACTAATTCATTTACAGGAAAGGAAAAATTAACTACATTTGAAAAATGTTTCATTTCATCAGTCTCCTTTTTCAACATAAGCAACATTTTTCAAACCCTTTTCCAGAACTCTGTGATACCCAGCACCATATGAATTCCGAGCCGTCAACAACTGCAAGAAAATCTTCAGAGACAAAATTTTCATATCAACTAAAGGTTAGCGTTCAAAATACGGATTCAAGGCAAGCGTTGTATGAGAGGCTTGGGACTTCAAAGTCAGGTTTCAAGACAGATCTTTCCTTCCGCAATTTTTCCTTCCTTCCTTCTTTCCTTCCTTCCTTCCTTCCTTCCTTCCTTCTATCATTCTATCTTTGATCATTTCCTCCTTCCTTTCATCCTTCTTTCCAACATTCCAACCATCCCTCTAACTATTCTTAGCATTCCTTCCTTCATTCATGTTTCATTCCTTTCTTTCGTATTTCATTGTTTTCTTGCATCTTTCTTTCCCACTTGCAATCCTTCCAGCTTTCCTCTCCCTCCTCATTATAGACTATCCTCTGTTCTTTTTTCCATCCTTCCATCCGTCTTTTTTTCCGACCTTCCGTTCTTCCTCAAATGTACAGTACGTACCTACTGCACTTTTGGCCAGCTGAATAATTCTCCCTTTTGCAGCAGAGATGAATCGGACTACTCCAGCAAATGCAAAATCAATTAAATACCACAGTACAATATACAGTACTTAATTACAGGGACTAAGGAGCATATGCAGTACCGTATCGACTTGGGCAAATGGTTTGAATGATTATAGCTTTCTCGACCTGTTTAGTTTGAAGGTGTGATGTGTCAGTTGAAAAGAAGAGGTGAGGTCAATTGCTTCGAAGGGAGGAGGAACGCTGGCTGTAATATATATTTCAACAGATGAATTGATTTAAATATAGACAGTACAGTAAAGGTGCTCGGTAGAGATAAGTGCTGTACATTTGCATTGAATCACTGAGGACTGTGTTTCAAACATTTAATCAGAGGCTTTTTAAAAAAGTAATTTCATATGTAGTACATTTAAATTTTCCTATATCTAACACCAGTGTTAATAACTGCATGATATTACAGTGGTTAACAAAATTAATGATATATCTTGGGAATGAAACCTGTCTCATTTTCGATAAACATTTAGGTCCACTGCTACTGTATTGTCATGTTAGCCGTTACCGTGGAACTTGGAGATGTTTTTTCAAGTGGTACTCAGTATAAAAAGTAGAACTGAGCCCCTGTAAATTGATGGATCATTTAGCAGGAATTATTTTTTTAATTGACAAAATTAACGGGGGTGGGATTTTAAAAAATTACATTTAAATGTGAAATTTCCCTAACAGAACGTAATCTTTCAAAAATGCAGTGCTAATTGGGCAGTCAAAAAACAAATGAATCACACTTTCAAATTCAGATGTACAAATGTAGTATTTTTAAATGCAATTCTCTAACTTTATTTGTAATCAAGAGTTTAAAAGGATCAAGCCACGCTTTAGTCCAACTAATGTTTCTAAATTGAGCATTAAAAAAAATCGCACGCGGCATTATTTTCTTAACTCTATAAGAGAATCTCTGTTTTGCAGGGATTCTAGTACCAACTGGGGCATATTGGCAGCGTATAGCGAGCGGTCGGATAAACGACGTCTCGACTTGGACCGTTATTGCATGCAACAATTAACGTTTCCCACTTTTGACCAGAGGGAGACGCCAAAGTACAAGAGTTGTGCCGCAGCATCCTTCGTCATGGTGCGGTACGCGATGGCGGCGGCACTTGATCGCGTGCCGCATACACTGAAATATGGACGTGATCACATACTGTTGTGATTTTATTTCCTTAATATTACCACATCCCGGCTGTTTATAAATGAATTAGTTACACAGCGCTGCAAGAAATCTTAGTGTGTGCTCGTGCGTCAATCAGAAACACAAGGTCAATGCACCAATCACCGTTTCTCTTGTTTTATTAGAAATTGTGGAATGACGACCGTATCACTGTTTCAATGATTTCGTACGGAGGCTCTCTGGCACGATCCCCCCTCCCCGCATTTGTGTGGGCAGGCGCAACCTCCCTCCTCCATGCGTAAAATATGTAGGGCATGCTTTGCCACCTCCATTTGAGAAAACCAAAACCGGTAAATATACTGTACTGCGTGTGGAAGGGAGAGCGAGCCATCTTAGCCACCCTCCTCGTCGTCAACCTTTATCAGCGTCTCAAGTGAAGAAGAGCAACACATTTAGAAGGAGGAGGAAGAAAAGATGGACATTACCGACCAGGGTGCTCAAATGGAGCCTCTATTGCCAGCGGTGAGTTGTGTCTTCATTCATGTATGAAAGGTTCACGTTTGGCTATTACTCCTAAGAATAAAACACAAAACGGTGAATTTATTTGTTAAGATTCCTTGACTGTTATCCAATGCTTCCATTGCATAAATAGACATTTCTAATCTTTCAATAATGCACTGCAATGGGAAATTGGTATTTACAGTCACAGGCCAATTCATTACTCACACATGCCAAATTCAATCGCATTTAGGGAAAATGTTCTGCTTGGACTGCCACAGACATAGCTATATCAATTTACCAATATTATAATTGTGGTTGTTCTGTACCAGTGATATCTGTCTATCGTTTTGCCTCTCAAGTAACCAACTATGGTAGACAAAATATTAGACACACATCTCAAGATGTAATTCACATATACATAAATACACTACAATAATAAATATATTGTTTAACTGATAAAATGTTGTCAGTGTATGTCAAAACATTAGCACAGAGCAGTTTTTAGAAATAGAAATCTGTAGATCGCGGACCCAATGCCCGGGGAGTGTACTTCATGCGCCCTCTAATACCTGCAGCCTCTTATGCAACCTGTGAGCTAGGATGAGGCATATTTCACTTGGTTTTACCACGCATACTTTCAGCTAGCAAAAAGGCCCATGCAAAATTTTCTGAGATCCATCTTCGTTTTGGGATTAATCTTCTTTAGGTGAGGCATAGTCAGATTGAGCACCTGTCCACTAAAGTCAGTGGCTCACTCCATATAGTCAACTGAAGTATCCAAACAAGAAAGTCGAAATTAATTGTGAACCCAGCCGATAGCGTCATCTCATCAATATTCAGGTGCTTGAAAAATAGAGGAAAAAATATATGTCATGGCTGAGAGAGAGATGGGAGATGTTGACTAGATTTTTTTTTTTTTTGGATACATGGCATGCTTGTTCTCGCTGTTCTTCCTTGTGTTGTCATAGCGTCAGCATGTTGTCATATCTCTATGTGGAGCGATTATTTCCAGGAGGCAAGTATTGATGCAATGCAATGTGATTTAAAGCAACATTTGCCAACATCTATTGAGCCAAGGCATGTTTTTTACATTGGAAAAATGTACGGTACCCTACCAAACAATTATATCGAGGTTAATTTTATGGCAGGCAGAAGAGAAGGTACGATACTTTGCTGTCATAGATAGATCAACAAAGAAAAATTAGTTGTTGTCAGTTAATAATGTTCAGACCAGTGAGATGAATCATTGATTTAAAAGTTAACAGGAACAAGAGTGAAAGAATGTTTACACATAAGGAAAGTATGAAATGTTGATGTTATTCGACCACCACCCAGTATAAGGCTGATGCCATAGCTGACCTAAATTACAGCACTGATAATTAACCACACTCAGTTCATCCAGCTCAAATCTTTCAAATACCGCTCATCTCTAATCATGTCCGGTGTTCCACAGGGTTCTGTTCTTGGCCCCCTTGTTTATCATTTTTCTTCTTGCCCTTGGTAATGTCTTCCATAAATAATGCATAACGTCTATTTGCACTGTTAGGCAGATGACACTCACCTAGCTTCGAGAAAGGCACCTACAAATCTAATGTATTATCACTACCAAAAATGTTATGTACCTGTCTTGTTTAATACAGAATCGTGTGGAGACTATTGAACAGAGATGCTGATTTTTACTACTAAATTATCATTATTGTTATCCATTAATACAATTTTGTTGTTCTCGTGGTTAAATGCATCAAGAGCACTCTAAAATTTAATATGTAGAGAACTGACTTTTTAATTCCCCATGAAGTGTGGAGTATATGAATGCAAACACTTGTATTATAGAGGCGATCTATGTATTTTCCACACTTGGGCTTGGGCTTCCACAAGTAGCAGCTGCTCGCCTCTTTGCTTAGTTCTGCTCCCAGTCGTCATGGTAACGAAAACCATACTTGGGTGTGCCGTCGATATTTTCATGAGCCATTACTGCCCCTTCAAAACAGGCTAAGTTTCGGGACGCTGAAATAATTAGGTGAAAAGTGGACAACTTGAAACGGTTTTAAATTGTTATAAACAATCTCCTCTTTCCAAGAGTCCACATAAAACTTTTCATGATCCTTAATGGGGACTTGTTAAATTTCGTTGAATTTACTTTTGTGCTCAAATTTGAACTTTGCTTTTCTGATAAGTCAGAAATTAATCAAACATCCCATTCAACCACTAAAACTGTATCTGTCTGTTCAGGAATACAAGTAAATAAATCCCATTTTACATTGTAATCTGAGCAAGAATGTTAGCCTCCATGTGATTGTGTGCCTGCTCTGTCAATTATCACTGAATTGTGTGACCGATGACCTCTGCAGCAATGATTGGTTCTGGATTGGACTTCATGTTTTTTTTGCCGAACGGGACTGTTGTAAGGGCCCTTCATTGTGGTGGACTTCCATTTTATCATTCTACAAAAGCTACATTGAATATCTGAAACATGAGAAATGAGTTTTGGAAGTCGGTATGTTGGTGTGATGAATCCAAATTTCAATAGTTCTTCGGAGAAGGAATTGTGAGGCTTTTACCCTTCAAAATCTGAAAAACTCTAGTCCAACAGTAAAGCCACTTGGCCGCATCATAAAGTGGTCTCTCAGTGGTCAAATCACAATCTTGTTGAGAGGCTGTCGAGGGAGTTTAAGGTTAATATTGAAGGTCTACCAGGAGAGAAAACTAAATGGATTGGGTAATGCAAGTGGTGTTAACGAAAAATACTTTTACTTTGGAAAACAATGATCAACATTTTTGCCTATTTTCTGAAATGTTTCGGACCAACCTAGTAACTGAATCATCATTAATTCATGTCAATTTGAAATAATGTTTTTTTTAAAAGGTGTGGAAGTGAAAGCACATTTTAAATATCAGATTCATCAAATAACAAAAATAATCAACAGATGAAACGATTATCAAAATTAACGTTCGCTGCAACCCTAGCACCAGTTGTTGGCATCTTAACATTTTGGCATTTGTTTTTTTTTTTTTTAGTCTTATTGACTGATGTCCTTTGATTGCAGGAACAAAGTGCGCAAGAAACTAAAAATGTGGTAAGTACACTACTTTTATTCCCTCAATTAATTTATCCACACCAATTGCACTTAGCACACACCGGCTTGGATTTCTTAAGCCTGTATCCCACAGAGCAGCGAAGGTTTGCGAGTGTTTGCAAAGGGAGCAGATGTTGATTTTTTTTTTTTTTTTGTCAGGATTCATTCAAGGTTGTGGAGTTGTTCGCCGGATGTTCAGCAACGGTTTTTGTGGTTGGAAATAGTTTTTCATCTCAAAAATATGTTTAAAATTTCGAGGAAAAGAATGTCATGCTTCATAATTAAACTACAGTACAACTGGGTTTCAGTAAAGCTATCTATCTATCTATCTATCTATCTATCTATCTATCTATCTATCTATCTATCTATCTATGTCTGTCTGTCTGTCTTTATACAGTATATCTGTCTATCCATCCATCCAATTTGACTATGAGTGACAGATCAAAGCAAGTGGGCGTGTGACTTGTAGTGTGTGGTGTGGAATACTTCTCAACCTTTCGAAGTTGTCAACTTGGCAAACAAGGGATGGAAAGCGAGACCATCCTGGCTTTATTTAATACGTGAGGGTTGTGCTGCATCTTACTTGATGAGCAGCATTATGCATTGCACTTCAAAGTCTATGGACTGTTGTACTGTATTTGATTTGTGGATTTTACACTGTTTTTTTTTCTTCTTCTTGAGTTTTTACCACACAATAGATACTGTGATGGTTTTTTTAATCTTGCACACAAAAAATTACCCCCCCCCAAAAAAAAACAAAAACAAAAGCTAAACTCAAATGAAGGGTTTGGAAAAAAAACTACAACTAATAAAAATGAACAAACTCGCTCTGAAACCCCATTACAACTAATTCAATTAAAAAAACAACAACAACCTCAAAACAAAATAAAAAAGTACTATAATGAAAAATCCAAAAGTACTTGGGCTGTACAGACTGATGGGTATCAGACAGCATTGATTGTTGTTGTTTTTCTCTCTGTGAACTTTTTGGGACTCCAACTGTGGTGCAATCCCTGACCCAAGATGTGAGGTGACAAATCTCCCAGGCTCGGAGAGAAACAAGCTGCGCTCAAATCATGGTAGCATAGCTGATGTCACAGCGCTAATCCCTGTTGAAGGGTGGGGGTGATGGGCGGATTGGCGGATGGATGCGAGTCAGAAACATTTGACCCTGGATGAGAGGCGACACGATTGAATCAGAGCTGAGCTGAGCCTCATTTCTTCCCTGGGCTTTTTTGGATGTGAGCACGCCTCCTTGTATTCCGGGCTGACGTCGAGGCGAGCTACGTCATCTTTCTGAGTGGGACGCATAACCCTTCTGACCTGCTCATCCTGCCGTTACCCGCAGAACAAGGGCGGTTAGCGACCATCCTGTCCCATCCCAAGGGACCCAAAATGCTCTCGGTGGACTGCAACAAGATATTTAGTGACCAGGTAGGCCCCCGAAATTTATTTTATTCGGAAAGTTCTTGCCAAAGTGACGAAATGCGACATTGTGCATGCGAGAGATCCCGAGGAGCTTGGCTTGACAGATGGGACTGTTCTGTTCCGAGATTGAGGCTTATACCTGCTGCACTGATCCCGGTTACTTTATAGGGATAATAATAATCATCATCATCATCATCATAAAAAATATAAATAAATAAGGAAAAGAAGAAAACAAAAATATTCATGTGTTTGCACCGTTTTGACAGGCCTTTCACACAGAAGGAATAGTTCTGTTTTTATAAGTAGTCATGCTCTCAGCAGTTATCATTGCCACGGTAACCATCTGTAGGGATGAAAAACCATGACAACTAAAACCACTCACCAATAGCAGAGGCCCTTCCAGCCACCGATAATCCATCTTCGTCTTTGCAAACTACAAGCCACAGAATCGTCCTGTATGGAGTATTTACACTAATGCAGTTTGAATGGCAATAGATTTGCATTGCTTTGTCTTTCGGGCGATTTTCCTCAAACTTGCATAATGTTGCCAGCCTTTTTAACATGTAGGCCTAAAACTGTGGTGAATGTTTGGAAGGCAGTATCCTGTATACTTCCAAAGTAGCTCTCACAATAGTAATTTAACCTTCATTTTGTTGCCCCCCCAGGGAACACCCGTGAATAGCTTACCGCAGAAATCAGGTCACGCATTGTACCTGCATCCCAGAGTTACATGATATTGGGAAAAGATGACTTATTAGGAGCATGTGTGAAATATATGACTCGAGGTCAGCTGGTCTAGGCACATGATATGGAAATAGGCATTTCTAATTGCTTGTAGAGAAAGAGCTGAGTCTCTGGAGTGCACGGAATGAAACAACCAAGTTAAAGCTTTCTAATCAAGTGAGCTGTTCTTTACTGATTGTGATGTAACAGTGCAGCTAATGCACATAATACTGTCCCCAGCTGCCCATGACTTGGCAGCTGGGGTGAATGAAGATCCGCTATATGTCGATATGGTTCCGGACGGTGGAATACATCGAAGCATTTTTATGTCAAAGACAAAAGGTAACCAGGGCTGCTATGTTAGCACAGTCTGGCAATAGCCAACCAAGTTATGACATTAGTTTGTAATAACCGACAAATACTTGAATGTTCAGTGATGTTGTTGTGTTTGGCGATGCGGGTTCACTGCATGCACAACAATCCTCACGAATTGGCAAAATTATGAAATGCTGCATTAGGGTATACCCTGCCTATTGCCCGAAGACAGGTGGGGACGGCTCCAGCACGCCCGCGGCCCTTGTGAGGTTGCGGATTAGAAAATGGATGGATGAATCATACATTACCTTTTGAAAGTACCGTAATCTAATTGTAGCCAAATTAAATATTTTTGCTTTGGCGGTTTAGCCACACATTTGGATACTACATGACTTAGTAATAACATGAATATCATATTTTGTTGTTGTCGCAGCAACTCCAGATTAACTTTTTGAACCAACGAAAATAAAAGAGTTGCATACAGTGTGTATTGACAGCTTTAAAAAAAGAATATGGGTGGCATGTGTGGATTGTGAATTGTGTCTTGATCTCCAGCCACATGTGTTTATGGATGTGCAGACATCATGATGTTCTGGAGAGCGACATTGAAATTGGAATCTTTTCAGAGTCATTTCTACCAGAGCAAAACTGTACCTTATTTTCTTTGTAAAGACAGAACATTGGATTCAGCTGTTACACTGGATAACCTTTTTATCGTGCCAGTGGTCATGAAATTATGGCCGGCTGGCACGTAAAAATTCTTCTGGAGTGATGATGGAGTGTACATGCAGAAACACGTGAACGTGTCTCTTAATCACGCTTGGTCGCAGGTCCACCCCTCCTCCACTCCATCCATCCCGACTCCCCCTGCAGTCTTGCTCACATGCTCCCTCTTCTTCCCTGAAGCCTGCAGCACACTCAAGAAATCCATCATTTCGATTCTTCTATTTGGCCATACCACAGTATTTCTTCTAATCATTCAAAGTCTGTCAGATTTTATTCAGGTAGCAGTATCATTGCAGCCTATAAATAGAAACAGAGGCCTGCTCGGTGGATATTTTGTCTCATCATTACATAATAGGGGTTATGATACAAGTATTGGATTTGGATAGGAAACATGCGGTAATGTACAGAGGCGTACCGAGTTACCACACGAAAAATGTTAGTGCAGAGACAAGAAGTGCAAATGTGTCACGCTCGAAACGTATGCTAGTCTGTATAAACATATTTAGGTGGAGTTGAATGACTTCAGGTTTGTGGGAGTTGATGCTCAGGTGATGTAAGGCAATGAGATTTGAGTCAACTTTGATTATTTGATGACATCCTATCTCTGTTACTCTCTCTCTCTCTCTCTCTCTCTCTCTCTCTCT